GGCTAAGTACATACTGCACATCACAGCTGATTCAGCCCTGCACCCAGTTATGATCAACGTCTCAATTCTGTGAGTGACAGTAACAGAAGCCATGAAGTCAATCAGTCATTATCAGAGTCTTTAGGAGGCAGAAATGTCAAGGAGTCATGAAAATCATGTCCATATGGCCGGAGTCTGTAGACGCCATACATCAAAACCTGCATCTGGCTCGGAGACATGCCAGCGAACGTGATGGCCATGTCCGAACAACAGGCCTCCACGGCATCGGCCGGGTTTTGGCCCATACTGTCAGAAATCAAGGAGCTGACGCTCTTCTTGTTAAAAAGTCCTTTGCCTTGCGCATCCTCTCCGTTTTCAGCAAACACCCCGCTGTATTTCAGACAGGTGGCGAGCTGCTTTTCTTCAGGTGTCTTCCACAAGGCATGTCCTCGCTCTGGGCATCTGTCCTCATCTTTGAACATCCCTATCAGCCTCCTCATTGCTTCATAGCTCAGCACGACCCCGCTGTCATACTCCACGTAATCAAGCTCTCCGGACTTTTCCGTGTGGCCAATGTAAAACGGCTGGCTTGGATCTTTATCCAACACCAAATACTTGAGGTTCTCTATAATTGCGTACGTGGTGGGCCGGGCCACGAAGAACCAGCGCAGGTCTCCAGCATTCTCGTAGGCGTGTTTGATGGCTTTGCGTAGCCTAGCCCACTCATCCTGCTCCTGTAGGTCAATCGCCTCTAGAACTTTGGACGATTCGGACGTGTAGAAGACAGATTTGTCGCAGTGTTTGCTCCAAGTGTCGTTGGCTGTTGCCCAGTGGACCAGGAGCTTGGGAGTGACCATGATGAGACAGTACACTCGAACCTGCAGGGTCCAGTCAGACATCTGAGACTCTGATAACTTCTGTAGTTCATCTTTGCTGACAGGTTTCAGATGATGGTGGAGATGCTCATGACCTTCTGAGTGGGTTCCTGAATTAAAGGTCTCAAAGAAAGACATCACCAGGCAGAATATGCCCCCTAGGATCATGCCTTTCATAAATGAACTGCCCTCAGACATCATGCTCGGCCGTAAATCTGTAATAGATCAAAATAAGAATAAAGATTATGATTAGAACAAAACTATGATGGCAGTTCGTGCTCTGAATGACATTTGTTCAGCAACAACAACAAAAAATCCTTTAGAGAATATCATGAGATACAACGTACGTTGCGATAAATCTACACTTTTGTTTCTGGTGACAATACAAAGCTATTTTACAAAGCAGCTATTCAGGTTTGCTGTATACTACTTACTCAGAAAAAGAAAAGTTAACTTTGAGATAAATCGGCTAGGTTACATTTGACTGCAAGAACCCATTAAACATTTGACCAAAACTACACATTCCAATAATCAGTTAATTAGAATCTGATACCTTTCAATAACGCAGAATAGTGCTCACATTTAGACGCTGCACCGTCGCATTCAGTTCCGTACACACAACCGGAAAAAAAAAAAAAAAGTAGTATCTGTTCTGGAGTCAGTTTTACCTGCCCTCCATCTAATTCATTTGGACGGTATAAGGTAATAAGAAAGCTGGTTGCAGTCCAGCGCTAGTTCTGGCTTCTAGAACACGGATGTTTAAGCGGATGTTGAATCCGCGCGAAAGGCACTGTGGGAAATGTTGTTCGGTTGTGTTGTCTCGTTGTGACGAAGACGGTTATAAAAACTACAAAAACGTCGATTTCCTCTGAATAAGCAAAGGCGGAAATGATTTTTGTCCTTTAAAAGTTTTACAGGGATACAGCTAAAACCGGAAGCTAACAATAAATTTACTTTTCTGCCTATTAGATTGTGTTTTATTAACGTCTGCATCTGCCCCAACCCTAAACCTAGCCCTTACAATAATGCAAAAATAGTAATTATTGTTGTGCAGTGTGACAAAAATTATGCTGTATTGATGTACACATGCCCAGTAGCACCATATGTATCCCTTCTAGCCTTAAAGGCACAATATGTAAGATTTTTTTTATTAAAATATCCAAAAACCACTAGAACAGTGTTATATAGTTTGCTGACTTGTGTACTTACATTATCCCAAATGTTTCGAAGAATGTTTAAATTCAGAGAAATAAGCAATTTTAACTAGTGACACGGACCGTGTCCATAGTGTCATTGTGTCGCCTGCAAATGAGGTCATAACCCCTCGATTTCCGGTTTTGTTTTGTAGAAAACATGGAAACACCAAAGACGCTTTAATATGTTGTGCATTTTAATAGACCGGTGAAGACCGTACAGAGTAGCATTATAACAGCACTTTCAAACGTATCTAGTATGATAAAACAGCGCTGCTTTTTTTTCCCATATACGCACGACCGGAAGGAGCGGAAGTGGTCGACTGTGGCATAATAAAAGCTCCGCTGCTTTCGAACTGTGTGTCACGCTCGTTCAGCGGCCTCGTTTCTCTTCGACGGCTTTCAGCCTCACCCTGCTTCATACTACTACGTTAATAAATCATCCATGAACATGATTTCTGCCCGAGTCCCGTCGGATTGCATCGGCTGTGGGGATGAAGACGACAACTCCCATGATTCCACACTCAGTCACGGTCATCAAACTACCTTTGTCTCTTTGTTTATTTTGAATATGCGCCCTCCAGCGGCGAAAATTACATATTGTGCCTTTAACCGTTTGTATAATTGTAAAATTGTATAACAACTTTTGTTAATACACAAAATATATATTTATTTATATTATATTTCTAAAAGAGAGATGAAGAACGACAAAAAACAAGGTATGAGCAAATCAAGAAAATAAATAACCGTTTCACGTGCTTTCCTGCAGTGTTGCCAACTTAGCGACTGTTCAGACCCCCCTGGCGACTTTTTTTTTCTTTTTTCTCCAAAAAAGCAACTAGCGACAAATCTAGCGACTTCTAGGACTCACTGGTACTGCCGCACGAGCGCGAGATCTTGCTAGCGGCAGAGAGGAGCAGCACTTTCAGTTAAAATAGATATGATGTTGCTTCTCTAATTTTACATGCAAATATAGCCGAAAACACGGAACAGGAATTGTCTTTGTCTTTGCTTATGTTATGTGTATTTGATTTAATCAGACGACGGCTCGATTATAAATCAGGATTAACATCTTGGAAGGGAGAGCTGGTTATGTAGTTTTAAAGGGCCACATTTCAGTCACTATTTCATATTTATCCCGTTGACTGAACGGAACAGAAATAGAAACAGTAAATTATATAAATGAAAACAGTATTATTGAGAATTTGGCAGAATTAAAATACAGTATGTGAGCACAGAGAGGCAAACAACTGTAAAAGGCAGTACGACGCGATGACGTCATGAATATGCTAATTAGTGTATGACGTCATCTAGCTACATTTAGCGACTTTTCAAACTGGCTTTAGCTACTTTCCAACACTGCTTTCCTGTTTTCAAGTAAATCACTGACTAAGGAATACATAAATTTATTAATTCAGAACGAAAAACCGACAAATAAACAGACCATTCATTTACTTTGTTTACACTTGTAGTTAAATGTAAGAATAAAATAATACATTAATAAAAGACTTTTCAAATTGAAAAATAAATTGACAAATAAAATGTAATTTATGTTAAATATTATTTAAATATATAACAATAAAACTGTCACTGCAGGGCCACTGTCCTGCAGAGTTTAGCTCCAATCCCAATTAAAAACCTAAACCAACTAATCAAGGTCTTGTGAGGTATACTAGAAACTTCCAGGAAGGTGTGTTGGAGCTACACTCTGCAGGACAGTGGCCCTCCAGGACAGAGATTGGACACCCCTGGACTAAGCCTGTCGAGCCCCTGGAGAATGAAGCCATGAGAACACAGACATACTTTATTAATATAAACATTTATTTCATCATTAATCATATTTAGCTCGTTTTAAAGGAGCATCAATGTAGAAAGATGCTTTTTGGAACCAGATGGTGCAGTTACAGAATCTACCAGCAGAGGCCAGGCTGAGGGGTTAAGAAGATTTGATGATTGGTTAGCATGACCCCTGCATTAGCCCCTAATAGCAGATGCCATTAATATCTACACCATCTGGTTCAAAATAAACATCTGTCTCCACTGACAGTCTTTGAAAATGAGCCATGTGTTCTGACAAAATATTTTTCCTTGCCTTTGTTCAAGGTAGTGGGCTTGTAATCTGTGAAGGAAGCACAAGTCTACCACTTGCTTGTTAATATCGGTCTTTTCTTGTATTTTCCTTGTATTGTTACCAAACCTGTCACCTCTTCTTGCTTTGTATAAAGACTTTATAAAGACTTCATGCTAATTAATAGCTTTCTTAAATAATCTTTGCTATAGCTCATACAGTATTTCCTGCCCACTGTCTCTAATGAACTCCTACTCATAAACTGGTTGAACTCCATCTCTCACGAGCTAAGCTTTAATGCTGAATATGCGCTTACAGCATTTTACATATTTACAAGATTACACATGCAATACAAAGGCTTTCTTTTTTGTGCAAGATCAAAAGAGATAAAATACTCATGCAGCTGTCAATGGTGCATATACAACCAAATAAAGCATCTTTTGTTTCTCACCTTCCATCTCATTTCCTGAATATCTTTAATTTAGTCAAAATAGGTTTTATTTTTTTCTTTGAAGGAAGAGAGACAAATTAAATGCTGTTTCATAGGAAACCATTTAGAAGCACACTATTAAACAACATTTTTTTAGCACAATTTTACACACAGTAAACAAAACACATACATACATTAGACAAAGTAACAAAAACATAAATAACAACAATAGACAATGTAAAAATCAAATAGCTATGGCTGGAATAGGCCTAAAATCGAATAGACTTGAATGAAGTATCCTTTAACGTGCTGAAAATATCATGCTCGCCATAAAAGCTCAAAAGTAACAATATTTCATTTTGAATGATTGCCTTAATGATGAGTTGGATATTATTATTAGAAGACAAAATTCCTTTGTTCCCTGTAAGGTGAGACACTGGCCCTTTAAGAAGAGACATTTCAAACTAGGCGTGTTTCCTGCTCCCGAAGAGAATCCAGCCCTGCTTGCATCCTACGACACGAAATTGGAGGAAAGATTATTTTACACATTACTCAAATAATTGCTGTATAATCGGCACAGATCACAAAAGGCTTTACTCAAATTTATTTTGTATCCTTTTAAGAGAAAAAGGACGGAGAATCCTCTCGGGATAGACGCTTTTAACCAACCTAACCAATGACATAAATGTCAGTCGGTCAAGGTCCACTCACACTCCAGATGTGCGTTTAGCGTTTATACACGTTTATTTCAGGTCAGCCTCGCTTTCTCATTCAAAATTTGTACACATTTCGAAGGGAATCACTTTCAAATTGTGGCAGTATGGGAAATCTTCGCTTTTGGATGAGGACTTTGCTTTCTGGTATTTGATTGGGACTTTAACCATGGATTTAAGTACAGAAGAGCAGATATGTAGAGCGACTGATGATTTTAAGAAACACTGAAGATCCGTGAGGAACCACGGGAAGAATCCTACAAACACATAGTGCACGTGAAGGAAGAATTGCATTTTTGGCAAAGAAGCTCCTGTATCTGTATTGCTGATAATAACACTTTAATCGGTCGTTAGTCTCAGGTTAATCATTTAGTGGACACGGTTGTGGTTTATTTCGGGTTAAGTTGTAAAAGACAATCTGCTTGTACCTTCGCTGCAATGTCGGCGGTGATGATAACGCGGAAGGTTACTCGAAAATGGGAGAAATTACCTGGGAAAAACACCTTCTGCTGCGATGGACGGGTTATGATGGCTCGGCAGAAAGGAGTATTTTACCTGACGCTGTTTCTCATCATTGGAACCTGCTCTCTGTTCTTCGCCTTTGAGTAAGTGCATGTCATTGGTGATTATTAGACCTCATCTACACTGCTAGAGACGCGATAAACCACCGGAGCTGCGATATCAGTGTGCACAGCTTCGTTACAGTGGGGGATTTGCATTGTAGATGGCTTTTGTTTAATGCCATTGCAGGGATGAAATAGTATCTTTAATAAGCAGTCAAAACATATTACAGCCACATGGTAAAGGCAACACATGTAACAATAAAAAGTGTGTGAAATATTGAGGACCGAAGCGCTCCTGATGTTTTGACGTAAAGCCATCTCTTGTGCAAGCTGAATTTGGTTACTGTACGCCATGGCTGTGTTTTCATATGACAGTAGAAATGTCCGATTCGTGAATGAATCGGTCTTTTGAGTCAGATTTTATCAATTAATTGTTTGGAGCGGTTTACAAAACCGGTCTGAACGATTCCTTTGCGAACTGAATCGCTCCCAGCAGTTCTTGAGTCGACTCATCGACTATTTAAACCGACTCAACTCGTCGACTATTTAAACCGAGAAAACACTTACTTAAATATTCGTTTGTGTGACAAAACATTTATACTAAATTTCACAAATAAAATCTCTTTGAAATGTGTTTACAATTTGATCGTATGGCAGTTTTAGCACACATACAACAAACCACTGTTTTAATAAGTAAGGTTTTATTAACACGTGCCAAAATATGTAAATTAATTGTTTTGTGGAAATGAAAACTAAATGTAGATTCTAAATTGATAATCAAAAAACTGAACTGGGCAACAATAAACAACCTTATTAACAAAACGTAAAAATATATAAACATAATAAACAGAAGTGACCAAGTACAAAAATATGTAATTGGTTAGTTTTACCATCTGTATAAGACAGTAGGGTTTTATTAAGGAGAGCTATAAACTATAGAGCTTTAAACCTGTAGATCACCCAACATGAACCTAAAACAATTTAGTACCCTACTAAATCTATCTATTTATCTATCTATCTATATATATGCTAATGAAAAAATGATACAATTATATTAAGATTAATGGCAGATTTTCGAACTGTGTGAGATCATATGCCTTTTGATGGATGGGAAAGAGCTGTGTCATCTTTGTTATTGTAACACGTTTTCACAATAGCAGATTACTGTCCATGTTGATAAAGCTGGATGTGCTGCATATTGGATATGAGCTCCCTTGTGTGGACTTTTGACGTCTGTGGTTGGTGTTTCCTGAGACTTGAGTGTTGTGCCCTGCCCATATCAAGGATATTCCATTAGGCCTGTTCATCAGTGAAAGGAAACGATTCTGTCCCTAGTCAGAAACTCTCAGTCATGTATGGAGATGCTGGCTCCTGTAGGGTTTCACTGCACGCCATGTTCATATCGCTGTTACTGATAATTAGTCCTCTTGAGGCAGACATATTAGCATAGAGACTGGGCTAAGTGCAAAAGTGTGATTCCAAATTGTTTATTACACGACAAGCTAATAGATGGATTTATTTATTTGCATTTACAATTTCAATTTGTGCTTAGATTTTTACCTACACAAACATTGTTTGTATCCAATCATCTTTATAGACTGAACTTGCCATTGGGTTCGAAACCATTTGAAGAGTGTATGAATATTTTGTTTATTATATATATGCATGTACAGGTGCATCTCAATAAATTAGAATGTCGTGGAAAAGTTCATTTATTTCAGTAATTCAACTCAAATTGTGAAACTCGTGTATTAAATAAATTCAATGCACACAGACTGAAGTAGTTTAAGTCTTTGGTTCTTTTAATTGTGATGATTTTGGCTCACATTTAACAAAAACCCACCAATTCACAACTCCACCAATTCACAATTCTCAACAAATTAGAATACTTCATAAGACCAATAAAAAAAATCATCTGCATTTTATGGACTCTTGTTTCTCATTTTGTGTTTTTGTCAAACAGTTTCTTCCTAAGATTGTTTTTGGCTCTTGATAAAATTCTGGCTTTGTGACTATCACAATTATTAAATATCACCCAAGGTTATTCCTATATAGTCCCTGCTGGATCTTTAGTTTCAGTAGTGCACATAAATTTTTATGTGCACTTTATCTTTTATTTAATGCATAGCATGAGATTCCAGAATAGACAGACAGTGTTTATGGAAACACATTGCTTCCAGCTATTTTGAATTTACAGGGAATTATTTTTTTTGAGTATTGCAGAATGCTTACACTATTGTGTCCTTCTACACCTCTCTGTCCATGGGGCCTGTGTCTGGACAGTTTATTCCTCTGCAGGCACAAGACTGATCAGCAGGGCTGGACTTTGCACAGTTCTTTCTAAAGATTTTTGTCTTTGAAGAGAATGTATCCCACCTCCCTTTCCATTCTCCTAATGTGTTTTTGTTTGCTGAAAATCTCTGCACTTATATTTTAATTTTTGGCTGTTAGTGTGCACAAGATTATGCAAGTTGCATTGCATTCATGTTTATACTGTCTTTGGATATCAGATTTAGAATTGTGAGTTGGTTGTGTAGGCTAGAAATTTTGTGAAAAATGTGCAGTGTGTGTGTCAAAGTAGACCGTAAAAAATAGTGCTGATCCTGCACTCACTATAGCCAAGGGCTTGGTCGATCCACCATTGGCTGGAAGGAAGAACCACTTGCTATTGGCCTGATATCTTCAACTTAAAGGATTAAGTTGAAAAATTCTAGGAAATTCTAGAATATAATATTATAATTGGATTAGCTTTTATTGTTTATTTTTAGTATGTAATCTTTTGTTTCTATTTGTTGCCAACATCCCTAATTTTTGTAGATTAAAAAAAAAAAAAAATTTCTTTAACAATAACGACACTGAAAAATCTCATATCCCACCATAATATGCAGAAAAACTACACCTAAGCCATTTGTAGACTGAATTCCTGAAGAGTGTAATACTGTGACACTATCAAAACAGCATTGTCGACCAATGCCAGACAAAGTGTTCTGGAAACCTGTTTGAAAACAGACAGTTTTTGCAGTTCTGTTTGGTATGTTAGTGATGCAGACCTACACCCTTCACCTTTATAATACTTCATCTTCTTACTAAAATGGTTCTACACCAGTGAAACGGTTACATAGCTGCACTTTGTGTTGACAGTCATCAGATTCTGTTGATCGTGTACACCCACTCATTCTTTCACTTTAGAAGTACATGGATCAGGTTTCACTCTGTCTTTGTCCTGTATGTTTGTTTTATGGAATTGTTGCTGATCAGTTAAATGTCTATACATTTTATGTTGATCATTAAGTGGAGTTACTCATGTTGTTGCTGAGGAAGTGTCTAGTATATGACTTAGTCAGTGTTACGATCTGTGTGAGAGGGCTCCCGTCTGTTTCTGTCCCTCTGCAGGGGTCGTGATAAAAGAGAGTTTATAACTGCTTATTCTTTTGGATTTTTTTTTTTTGTCTCTGTGCAATGTGACTGGAGCTGTGGCAAATTTGTCTCCATGAGGGATTAGGATACCGCTTTTTTTTTGGCAGTAATACATAATTCATTTGCTTCGTGATTCGCTTGCTCTTAAATTGGCAAACTCTTTATGAAGAATTAACAGAGGTTGTGCAAGTAATTTTCAGGCATGGCAACTTCCTGGCATTACAACTTCTATCAGTGTGACACAGCTGAAAGATCCTTTTGTACATTATCAGTACATATTTGTACTTTATACTTTACATTACCTAAACCTGTTTGTACTTTAAGCTTTTATGAGAGTCCTTTATCAGAAAGAATGGCTGCTGATGTCACACCCGGATGCAAGATTGCAGTTTATTTGTTCGCTTACTAATCTTTCCCCAGTTTGTTAGTGCTATTGCATACGAATTTAATATCATCATCAATTTTGCAATGCGAAATTGAAATGAATGAGGTGATTATTTGCATGTTGAATGGTTTTCTTTGGAATTGCCGGACCATTTATTCCTTAACAGCTTGACCTACTTTTTGGTTTTGATACATATATCAACATGTGTGTTTCCATACTTAGAAGTATAACAAGTAGAAAATCTTTCTCTCAGTATTTGGTGTATCTGTTATGGAAGCTTGTTTCTGCATCAGAATCAAAATTAAAATAGGTAAGTAAGATCCTTATGTCTTCAGTGTCACATGACCCTTCAGAAATCTTCAGAATATGCTGATTTAGTGCTCAAGAAACATTTCTTTTTATTATCAATGTTGAAAACCTTTTTTTCCTGCTTAATGTTTATGGAAACAGAGATTCATTTTTTTCAGGATTCTTTGATGAATAGAAAGTTCAAAAGAACAGCTGTTTTAAATAGAAATATTTTGTATCATTATACATATTAATGTTGTTTTATCAATTTAATGCATCCTTGCTAAATACAATTCTTAATTTCTTAAAAAAAAATCTTACTGATTGCAAACGTTTGAATGGTATGAACGTGAGAGCTTATTGCACATCAACACTGTATTCAGCATCAGTGACCATGTAATATTATATAAAATTGTCTTCAGATTTGTTTCAGACTGAACCAGGTTGTCACAATGAATCTATATGTTGTTTTTAAGCATCATCCGTGGTTTTTCTCCCCTCATTGTCTTTTCCGGTGGCGTACCGGATGTTTGCGCCGAGCACTATCAGTAACGATAATTGTCAGGCCTCCCTGCCCCCCCACCAGTCTCCACCTAGAGATCAGCCAGACCAATGAAGCAGCTCTATTGATTTTACGAACACACAGCTAAGCCTTTTCATAGCCAGCCATAAAACTCTGCTGTTGTGCTTCATGTTGTCTTAACTGTGGAAAACAGTCCTTTTCACCTTGTTCTCTGTGGAGCAGACTGCAGATAATTCACTAAGGACAACATGTGAAGGCAAACACAAGGGTGGAGATGCTTTAACACCGTGACGGGAGTGGCTTTGTATGCATGTGTGTAATTTGAACTAATTATTTAATTATTATAATGCCAGAATTCACGAAAAAGTGTCTTTGCAAAGCATTTTATGTCTTCCGCTGATTAGTTGATGAAGTCGACATGAAATCAGAACTGACCCTGTTGACTGACCCTGTGTTTCTGGTCCTGTTGTGAATGATTCATTTGCTAGGTTAGAGAAAAAAAAAACATTTTTTATTTGTAAGCTTGAATCAGAATGAAATAATTTGCACTGTTAATCACTGATAATGTTAACCAAATGGCTGTTTAGGCATTGTTTTAGCAAACTCTCAAACTCTTTTGTGATCCAATTGGTTACCGCCCTACATTTTTTGCAGCTGAATATCCTGTTCCAGAACTATGCCACATTACGGAAGTCAAATGGAAATTGGTGTTGATTTTCAACAATAAAGTGTTGATTATGCATACTGAGGCACAATACTTTTTTGTGTTTTCGTGTTGTTCTATGGAGGAAGTTAATTGCTAATTATGGTGGTTCAGTAACCTTGTGCATCAGTAGTGGCAATAACAGAATTTGTACTTTTATATTGGAGCTGCTTATCTCATGTATTGATTATGGTGAGAGAGGTCACATCCAGCATTGCATGATGGTAATGTCCGGAAAGCTTAGGGCTGTCATAGGAACTGATGATGGAGCAGGTCCAGAAGTCATTAGCAGATACAACACACACACACACACACACACACACGCACACACTCAAGCGGTTCTCCTCAGTTTTCCTCCGCTTTGCCCCAGCACAGCTTTCATGATAATAAATGGATTTCCCTGCAGCATTCTACTCATGATCTGGGCAGTGGAAAGTTTTATCGACCGGCTCTGCTCTGGATTTTTCCCCCTCCTCTTTATGTCTTCCAGTCTCATAGCTTAAAATGGATCAAACTAATCTGACCTGTTCCACAGGTAGATTTCCAGTGTATTGATGCCTCTGGTATGCTGACACACCAGTGTGTCAAACAGCTGAACTTGCACCATGTAGTTTGACTAGAAATGATCTTTCTGTTGCTAATACTTCTTACAGCTGCAATCTGTTGTTCTGTGTGCTGGACCTGAAGCAGTGAATGTGACGTGTGAGGAGACATACCCGCATTCTAGTATGGACTGGTTCAACCAGTGTTCTAGTATGTATTGTAGAAGGATTGGTTTGACACGTTATAGTTTGTGTAAAACATGCATTTTGTGTGTTATTAGAAGCACCTGTTAAGTCTTAATTCCCCAAAAGTAGGCCTAGTCAAGTTCAGTTTGTAAATCTGTTTGTATTAACGGTGCATCAAAATACAAGGTGTGTTGAGGAGAAATACTCTACTAAGCTATTGGATGTACGTTTGGAAAAAAAAAAAAAAAAAAATGAAAAA